ACATATATTTATATTTAAAATAAAAATTGACAAATAAAAGAATTATAAGAATAACTTAATCTTATTTTATAGTTTTTTCTTCTATAAATATCAGTAAAAAAATKTTGTCGTGTCAAAACTGCATGACATAATATATGGTTTTTTATAACTTTCATAAGTTATAGCAATAATAGAAACTATAAGGTTTAAAAGTATTAGGTATTTTTTAAGCAAGCGTGGTTTCTTATTATAGTKTTTAATGTTGAAATTTTGATGAAAACTCATCAAAATCATAATTTATAATGAAGAGATTCAAAGGTATCTACTGCAAAGAGTTTTCAATTATTAGCTGTACACTATACATAAAACTCAATAATTAGGTTTCCGGAGGCAGAATGTACATATCAGATAGCAATTTTACGTTCTTAAAATGTCTTAGTAATGTTAAAAARATAACCTTATAATTTCTATAATATTCCAGATAGGTTCTAAGCACCTTTTTTAATGTTTCTATAACATTTTCTTAGAGTTTTTTGGCCGCAAAAATGTAGTACTACTAACATTATAAAATAATTATCACTATAATGTTAAACTAAACTTGTTTTGTTATTTTTATAACATTTCCAGGTGGTTCAAATTGTATTTTTTAATGTTTATATTTTATATAATATTTTCTTAGAATTTTTTGGCCATAGAAATGTTGTTCTATTAACTTTTTAACATTAATATTATTTTAATGTTGAATACAACTTATCGCAACATTATTAAAATGTGTCACAATATCCCTAACAACACATAGACCTTCCCAGGAAGGTCTTGGGACTGATTTTTGAGTCTCTGAGTCTCTTAATAGGAAATACCTGTTTAAATCCCAGACATGTCTTAGGCGGGTCGTAGCCCATTCGGCTCCCGTTTTACAAAAAGGTCAATTCCCAAACGGCTCCCGTCCAAAAAGGTCTAACGAACAGGTAAATTCCAAAACGGCTCCGGTTTTGTACACCACAAATTCCTTCCCACTTTATACAGACTTAGGACTGTCTCAAAAGAGGTGTGGTTAAAAATGTCTTGGTGTACACTATCTAAATTATTAAAATTATATAAAAAAAAAGTGTATAGTATAATATTAAATTTTAAGTTTTTAACGTTAAAAAAATATTTAAAAAATGCAAAAAACGTTAAAAAATCATATATCGGGTAAATTTGTTAAGCACAATTTTTTTATATAGTCTATGCGTGATATTTTATTTGATGAAAACTCGYAAATGATTTTTTCGACGAACTCTTGCTTTTTTTTGCGTGCATATGTCCAATAATTATTGTAGAGCTTACAATTATACATTTATACCTATTTGAACATTTTTTTTTTTGACGGGAGCCGTTTCGGAATTTACCTGTTCGTTAGACCTTTTTGGACGGGAGCCGTTTGGAAATAAGCGAACAATAGACGGGAGCTGTTTGGGATCCGACGCTTAGGCGGTCTGTAGGATTCCTAATGTCCGGGTTCAGACTTTCCACAAGACTGCCCGCCAGGAACCAACTGGCCGGTGATACACAACATGGACCATTATGGTCTGTATATTTCCCATTATATTCCTGTTTGYAGTCTATTAAGGTCATGGAAACTTCTTGAAAAGGTTATAAATATATCCCAATAAGGTCTCAATGGTTCCTGTATGAGTCTTGTAAGGAATTCATTTTGGATCCAAAAAATCTACTGGAATAATATATCTCTTATTTATGTCCTATTGAGGAGTCAACCTTACTTAAGTGTTGTAATTTGTAAAAAATACATTTACATTTTTAATTATTTACAATTAGATGAGTAAATCTTATTGTCAATAGGGATTTTAACATGACCCCATTCAATTATTTTAAGCCTTCATAAATTTTAAAAATTAACAACTATTTTTTTTTCCAAAGATTTTTAAACAAAATATAAAGGTATTTAATTTGTGGGAAAATCAATTCATTTTTAATATACAGATTTAAATAATCATTTGACTACGAATTTACTTTTTGACAGTTCGTTTTGTGGCAATAGATATCGTGCAACCATGTCGGAGAAAAGATTTTGTTTTCTAATTAATTGCCTTAGATTCGATGATCGAACAACTCGTTTGCATCGTAAAAATGAGACAAAACTAGCACCGATTTCAGTTGTATGGGATATTTCAATGATCAACTGTAAAAATAATTACAAGCCTAGTAGTTACGTCACAATTGATGAACAGTTGGTCGGCTTTAGAGGACGATGTCTTTTCAAAATGTATATCCCTTCAAAACCCACAAGATACGGAATTAAAATTGTTATGATGTGCGACAATGCAACAAAGTATGTCATTGATTCGATTCCGTACTTGGGTAAAGGAACTGTACCAAATGGACAAGTTGCAGCTGACTTTTATGTTAAAAATTTAGTTAAATATATTAAAGGTTCTAATCGTAACCTTACAATGGACAATTGGTTTTGCAATGTACCACTTAATCAATCACTTTTACATGACGATAAACTTACGGTTATAGGAACAATTAAAAAAAACAAAAGAGAACTTCCAACTCAGTTCACTGATATTAAATTTCAAAATAGAACTTCCGATACATCGTTTTTTCTATTTCATGAAGATTTTACGGTTGTTTCTTACAAACCAAACAAAGTAAACTTGTGACATTAATTTCATCGGCACATCATGATTCATCGATTGATCCAATTACAAAAAAACCCGAGATAGTGTTGAACTATAATGCTACCAAAGGTGGGGTGGATTCATTTGACCAGATGACTAACAATATGAACTGCAGCCGCAAAACCAAACGTTRGCCTTTATGTTTTTTTTATAATATGTTAAATATAGCTAATGTCAATGCGTATGTTATTTACATTCATAACTTTTACAATAAAAATAAAAACGATGAAAAACCAATGTCTAGATTACAATTTATGCTATTTTTACACAAAGAACTAACTAATGAATGGCAACGACATAGATTGAGTTTTCCAAAAATCAGTAGAGAACTTAGAACTAACATCCAAGACGCGTTAGAAGAAAAGCAAGTACCAATCAACGACAAACCCCAACACTGTCCTCGAAAGTATTGCGATTATTGTTCTTATAAAAAAAGAAGACTCACAACCACATACTGCATTGAATGCCAGAGACCAATTTGTGGAGAGCATCAAAAAAAAAAAAGTGTCTAGACTGTTAATAAAAAGATCTTTTTTATAGTTATTACGTTAACAGGAAGTTTTTATTTTCATTATTTTGTCATTATACATTTTTATATATTATGTACTATTATGTTAAGTTCTACAAATAAGTACAAAACAAAGTATTTTTATTTTTTTATTTTTTTTGAAAAATATGTTTAAATTTGTTGATGTGATGTTAACTGAATACATTGAATAAAAAAAGTATGTACAAGATTTAACAATTGTTAAATTCTAAAAAKATGGTAATTATATAACTAAAAACAAATATGGCGTAAATTTTACGCATCATTACCTATAGTAACATGTAAATTATCGTTACTATACTAGGTTAATATTGTTGAAGCATTATTTATAGTTACTATATAATTACACCTACCTGTCTACCTTGTTTTGAATTCTGGACCAAGCAAGGAATATATTGATATTTCAGTGATAGTTATGTGTTCAAATTGCATAAATCGTCAGATTCGCGAACATTTTCAAATTATCTTTTTGTAGGAATTCATTATATCATTCCATCCAGTCGACATTTTTCTATCAAATATTTATTTTATATAGGTACATGAATACATGATAAAATGTTCAAAATATTTTGAGTTATTGTTTATACCCATTATTGTTAATAAAATATATATTTTTTATTTTATTCTGGAAACGTTCAAAACAATTTTTCACTAGAAAATAGTCTAAAATATATTTAACCTGTGCGTCTTTTTTTACAATCATTTGAATTTCAATTTTTTCAAAATTMATCAAAATCACGGACATTTGCAAAGTATCTATGTCTCTCGTAATATAATGTAAGTTATAGATCTAACAGTAATGCCAACAAAATATAAAAATATACAAACATAATTCATTTTTATTGACATTTTGGGTTTAAATTTTGACAAAATACGATACTTCAACAATAAGATATTCAGTAATTTTTCTATCTTATCTAAAAATGTTATTCGTGAGTATTTGACACTTTTAAAGTATTTAAATTATTAATAATAGCAGACCTTGTAGTTGTTACTATATTAATTAGTCATTTAACGTGTTAAAATAGAATAAAAAACCGAAAAAGTTTCAAATTTCAAATGTATAATATAAATCACTTAAAAAGATTTGAATCATTTTGAAAATKTTATCAAGTATAGGAATATTTGTATATAATATATACCAATATCCCTATGATAAAACAAGATGTAAATTTCACGTTTCTATACAAAAATTTGTTTTTGAATAACAAAAATAATAAAAAAATCGGTACAAAATAAAAATCGAGTAAATGTATCCAATGTAATAATATGAAATTCGAATGCCCATGAAAAATTTAATTTAACTTTCCGGTAGACATTTTTTTGATAAAGGCGTACAAACTTATGAAGTCTTTAATTGAATTTTCAAATCTCATATTTAAATATATACATTTTTATGGTGTTTTACMTCAAAATAATTTTCACATTTTCGTGATTTTTAGGTATTTTGTCAAAATTCGAACTATGTATAGTTTATACGTCTCCATGGGTGGAACATAAAATACAATTATTTTTCTTTATTCTTTTTTCCATAAAATTCAACTTTCCATGTACCTATTAGGTTTTAAAAAGAAATTATTTTTAATTGTCTTTATTGTTTCTGCGTCTCGCAGCAGCCGACAAAACACAACGTGACACGTAATTACTTATTTTTTTTATAATTATTGTTAATGTATTAAAAAAAAGATTCTTCGTAATTTTATTTTTGGATTGCAAAGTAGTAACTATACTTAGTACTTACATTCTGTATGTGTGGCATTTTGCTATATTTTCAAACCAATTATCTAGGTACACGGCTATTATTTTTTTTTACTAGAGAAACTTATGATATATTTAGTTCAAAATGTTCAATTATTAGGTGATACAATTTTTAATTTAATTATTTTTATATAGGAATATATTATCTTATATGATGTCATCCATTAACTTCTCTGCGAATAATATTATAATAACGAAAGACCTGCAGTCCCTTTGTGGATGGCTTAATGTCAACCATCAGAAGCACGAAACCAAAGTATGCGATATAAAAAAAAAAAATCGAAAATTCCGACGTGAGTAATTTTATTTTGTACAATAATAGATAATTTTTGTGTCATCGCTCAACGCCCTTTTTGAGCGTAAAACTTGTTTTTTTTTTTTACATTACCATATTTTCTGATAGGAATGTGAACCTATAGTTGATATTGTAGTGTGATGGTAAAAAAAATCTAATTATAGTTCTCAAAAGCATAGGAAAAAATAATTAACGAAAAACGGAAATGTTTGCGCGATGCCTGTTGTATTTGACAAAATTCATTTATTTTATGTAATTAAAAAATAACAGTAGACACATGATGTTTTCTGGATGTGTTTTTTTTTTTGTGTCTGTCATCACGTTTTGCTAAAGTCAAATTACATTTTTATGAGGGTTTGAATTTTAAAAACCTTGGATATTCACAAATTTCTCATTTAGCGATTTTCTTATTTTGGTGTAACTCTAAAAAAAATGACCGCGGGTACTTGAAATTTTCACTGAATGTTTATATAAGCGTTTGATATACTAGACAGATAAACCGTCTCCGCTCAGAATCGTTTTTCGTATACAATGATATAATATCATTGGATTCAAATTTAAATCCATCCATTACAGTTACCCGCTATACAGTAGAGCGACATCATGATTCACTTTCCCGCTTTTTTTTTCCTTAACTCTAACTTAACCTTTTTTTAAATGTCTTATGTATAGGATGCTACATTTGCCGAGACACAAAACACGTAAGCAGGAACTGTCCGTGTAAGTAAAATATCCCTTTGTAACATAATAACACTAACATACTATATACCAGGAGTTTTTTTTTATCATAGAACACTCATTATTTCAAAAATTACTAATGTTTTAGAAAATATTTTTTTTACATAGTTTCAAGTTGTTCAAAAACTTTAAATACTTAAAACTCATAAACTACTTGCCCTAAATTCAATTTTTATGAATCAAAATACTTAGAAAAATATTCTGCTTTGGAATATAAAATTAAAATTCTATGTTTTCATTCAATAAAGTAAAAACTTAAAAAAAAAAATTAAGGATAAAAAATATTTAAAAATATAATTTTTTAATAAAAACTCGATCTAGTTATACCTATATTGTACAAAAAAAAAAAATGATTTATGTCTTTCTTTCTTTTTCTTTTTAATTGAGCCAGATCCAAAAATGAAAACAAAAGCCAAGGTGGGTTCAGGGCAGACACCCAACAACATCGGGTGTCTGTCTTTGACCGTCTTGGCGATAAAAAAGCGGAGCAGGCCAGCAACAGGTACCTAATATAAATAATTTATATGAAAACTCAAAAACAAAATATAGTAGTAAMMWCTATGACTGATTTATGTAAAATACTGATATCTACAGTCATAGGTTAGGTAAGAAATTAAAATTAAAAATATTATAYATTATTAAAATTAATAATTAAAAAATTTATCATTGTTTATAAGTATTGATTTTTTTTTTAAAATCTTGATTTTATTAATAAATTATAATCATCAAGTGGATAGACACTTAGGAAGAGTGGATATTCCCTGTAAGCTCTCGTCTATGGTTATGTCCATGGTCTTAGACGATATCTTCCAATATTGTGGCTTTGTAAGTGGCATCTACCAGTCATTTTTTTTTTGTACTTGCATTATTTTTGTTACCTATATGATTAAATAWATTCACCATTTAGTTATAATTAAAATTGCAAAAGTATAAAAACAATTTGAGTACGTGAATATCTAAATGTTTGAGGATTGATATAATTATAAGGCGTATGCTTAGCATTTTTTTTTTTAAATAAAGGGAACTCTAACCACAGAATAGATTTAATCTATGCTGTGGTCCAACCTAATGAGACTCCACCAATCCAACACTGAAAATATACAAATAAATATTATTAACTTGGTATGAAACTGTATATGGTATTATAATGGACCTATTYGCGATGCGCCTAGCTGAATTTTGCTCTGGTTTATCAAATTAGACAGCACATAAAAAARWAACAGTTCTGTATAGATAGTATTTTGTTTTTTTATATTACCGTTCATTTTAATAATTATAGTAATACTTATTTCTTTATATGAAATGTGAATTTTGTTAGTATTTTATAATAATTATTGCAATTATAACTGCAAGTTTTATATTTATATTTAGGTTCCACGATTAAGACCTAGTTTGAAGTCAAATGCAATTCCACATTTATTATTGTTACGTATTAATAATGTTTATATATATATATATATATGGTGGGGGATTTTCATACCATACGCGACGTATGTGTCTCGCACGACATTTAGTTTACGTATGTTGTTTCTACGATAAACACGTCATAATCATTCATACCTATATACTGTAGTTATACTGATTAACATTTAATTGCTGCATTTATATTAATGCAACGATCCAACAAATTGGCGACGAAGAAAA